TTCTTTCCCTTTCCCTTACTCTTTCATTCTGAGGAGAGATGCAAGCAATCCAGCTCGAGATTTTTACCAATTTTGGCCAAATTTGTCCATTGGACAAAACCGCACTCTACCTGAGATACCCACAAGACAAGTATGAAGAAGGAAATAAATGAAAAAGCCCTTTGTTTGAAGATGCCAGAATGTCAGGAGAGGGAAACAGTAAAACAGAGTATATAATCAGACCAAGGGACTTTTTGGTGGGTTTTTTGCCACAGAAAACACTATTTACAGACCATGGGACTGTGAAAAAATGGAGCAAAGACAGATTAAGAGATATCAAAATAATGGGGCTCAGGTGAATTTGACATAGTATTATTGTTGTTCTTCCTATAAGCATTTTTTGAAGGTGTTAGAGAGGATGATTTTTATCTTCCTTTACAACACACTATAGACAATCTATCTTTGCAAACACAGAACAGGCACGCCACCCCTACTGACATCTTGCAGGCTATAGGCATTTTTAATGAGAAATTGGAGATGAACAAAAGGCTAACATCTACATATAAATGCCACTCTTTTCATACACAATGAAAAGGAGCAATCGGACAGATCTTGACATTCCTACATTCTCGACAAGGAATTATTTTCCTAAAGATTAAAATGAGTATTCAGAGGCACCCCGGTGAGCAGAGCACAGTGAGTTCTCCATCACAGTTTGCTGGTTTTCCTGCAGGGGTTGCAGCAAAGCAAACTCATCGGACTGGCCACATGGGAAGAGTGCCTTCATCCTGCCCAGATAAAGTTTCAAGGAGGAAGCCAGGCATAGACTTCTATCCATTTTAATAAATGCATGCTGCAGTGCTTCAGCCATACGGTGGAACAACTCTTAGCCAGCAGTGGAGGAAACAGCTTCACTAGATTCAGAATCTCCCTTCATAAGCATCTTTTGGGTTTATTTGTGTTTATAACTACTATTATCTTTTATTTCTTTTGCAGTAATAGCCAGGTAGGTGATCGGGGTCTCTTTGTTCCATGAGTTGTCTGAAGATGGAGAGAAACGAATCCTGCCTGGCAGAGGTGGTGGTCGATGTGGACGAGAGGCACTGTAAGGGAGGCAGAGGCAGCAGAGGCAGAAGGCGGTGAATTATGACAGCCAAGACCCAGGGTGGCTGCAGGAACAGGGCACTGGACTCATTTTTACACTGTGACCAGGTTCCCTTTCCCAAACAGCCTCTTCTTCTGTTATTCCACCAGCTCTTGTCATGATAACAATTTTAAAAGTTTTTTTTAAAAGATGTTTAAGTGGTGAAACTTAGCTTTAAAAGTATTAGCTGGGATTAGCATGTTCCTGCTGGAAGGCGGTACGAGTCTGACTGATGGCTTTAGATTTATGTATTAAACACATATAATGCAAATAGTTAAGAAGCATATTCGAGAGGGAAGTGAATGAAGCAATTCTGTTTCCTTGGGAGACAGGATTTGTTGGAAATGTTTTGGTGATCAGATTAAAACTTCTCAGGCTTCACAGTGACACGAAAATCAGTGATAGATTTAAGAAGGGGCAGGGCTAACATGACTGCCTCCGACAGATTATTTACACAGGAACATACATACCTTAATGAAAGCTTGCTTTTCAGGAGGAAATTTTTTCACAATACCATTCTACTATGTTATATATAGCCCCTAAAGTGGAATTAGGAAATGTGACGTTTATTCAGATGAAGGCAGGCAGGCAGTCCATTTTAAGCAGACATCTCTTCCCTTGTGACTCCCAGGCAACCTTTAAATACTTTTAGTTCTTTCCTTCATGTTAAAGGCTCATTATCCTTTATAGAAATTCTTTAGAAGTCTTCTCATCCCAAGCACCAGGAGTCATTTCTCAAGACAGCGCTAGATTCCATATTCCAGATCTTTCGCAAAATTTTCTAATACTGTATGCCTTAGTGAATAAGGCATTCGAGAACTACTTATCCTTGCTTCAGAAGAAGAGAAAAAATCACCGATCATGATTTTTATGTCCATTCCTTGAAAAGAAAGGGAGAAGGATAATAGCTGCTAAGTGAAGATTCTCTGCTTTCACGGCTGCCATTCTAGCCCTGCGGTTCTTGATTCAGCATCGACTCTGGCAGCTCTTTCTTCTCACATTTCTGTTAGTATTCCTGAAGCCTCTTTCTTTTCCTCTCATCTTTTTTCTTTGTACTCCCTCTTCATACAATCTCCCTTCAACCAAGAAGTTGGACCAGCTTCTCTGACGTGAAGGTGTCACGCAACAAACACTGAGGCACTAAATAAATGTGTATCTGGGACTACTACCAACTTCCTTCTTAGCATTAAGAGTCTGGTTAAGCAAGACAAGTTGGTTTATCGCTTCAGCTAGCTTTTCACTAAGAAAAAGTCTGTCAATTTTAGATGTAGCAAGTCATGGAAGCGTATTAGGTCAATATTTATTCTGTCCATTCCTGAACTACCAAAACAAAAATTTGTCTACCCTCTTTTGACATCAAAGGTCAACCGCTTTTCTGTTTAGATACAGGTGTCACTGGAAATTCTGGAAGAGTAAAGCATCTAGTCTCATTTAAGAGATTTGTCACAGGATCTATGAAAGGCAAAAATTTATCCAGCAATATTACTGACAGAGTAGGTGGAAACTTTTGTCAACATGGAGAAGAATCACCTATGCATAAAAGGTGGGGTTTTTTTAAGTTTGCAGTGATGCTATCAGTGGTTAGCATCTGCATACATGAGGTATCTGGGGTACAAGGGACAGTTAAGAAGTGAAGGAGGTGGCTGTAAAGGGACTGCTGCCATGTCTGTCTTCCTGAAAGGCAGTCTAGTTTCACGATCAGTGACTAAATCCATCTAAGCCACTCCACTTTTTTCTCATGGACAACCCACACATTGACTGAAGGAAGGAGGGAAGGCAATTTGTCACAAGGAAGCCACAACAAAGTGTGTTGATGCTAATCTTTTTTTATGTTTTGGAAGGCTATTTCTTACTTACCAACTCTGTCAAGGAGAAGCAACTGCCTAGGTCAGGTCTCACCTTCTGCCTCTGAGTAAGAAGGCATTTAGGGCCCCGTTGTGGAGCAGGATCAACTAATTAAGAACATTGTGAATTTAATGAAGGAAGCCCAAGGTTTTTATCTAGTAGCAGGGCTATACCTGAGGATTACAGTCCAGAAACAGGCTTGTGGGGGAGAAAGAAAAGGAGTCGGAATAACCACAGAGAAAAAGAAAACAATGAATGACAAGATACAGTACCAGAGAGAATAAAGACAAGTGCAGACCCTCACTTCGGAGTCACTCCACCCGACCAGGCGCAAGTATAATGTACCATAACCACACCACCAGAACAGTGCATCCAGCTATTCCTGCAGCCCATCATGGCATACTTCCCCAAAGCAGTTTGTCCTTAATCTGTGCTTGATTAAAGCTAGAGTTGTGCCTCTTCTACACACGCACCAACACGCTAATGGCGTTTGCTCTACCAGCCGTGCTGGGAGCAGGACGTGTGTTAGTGTGGATGTGAGGGTGTACAGACGTGCTTGCCTGCTATCTCAGAGCCGGAGGGGTTTTCATTAGATTCAAACACCAACTGACTCTCCAGGGAAGCTCCTGCTCTTATTTGATAAGAGATGCTCTTTTATCACACATGAAACTGCATGCAGTGATCAGACAGGCAGTGTGCATAGCTGCCAACCAGAGGAAAGCTGTTTTTCTGTAGCATATTACAGCAGTGCATTGCTACTACTGTTGAAGACTGGCCCAAAAATGGTCAGTTATGGAAACCACAGAAGTTGGAACTTCTACTGATCCACAGAAAAAGTATGCAATTAATATACTTGCTTGAGAGGTTAGGATATCATGTTGTTTTTTAGAAGATGAAGCCACTATGGTAAATCAGAGTGGAGAGGACATCTGAGGTTCTGGGGCTTGCAAATCTAACAAAGTTGACAGCCTTCCTTTCAAAGAACTTAGTTATTCATTCCTTGATATTACAACAAACAAGGCACCTAAACCTAAACATTAACGGTCTAAAGTACAGCTCTCCAATGGAGAATAAGTGGGATTTTCCATCCTTTCAGAAAAAAAATAAATCTTTTTACTTTCAACAGCAAACCTTTTTCAAGCTAATTGACATCTCAGAACTTCAAAGAACTCAGTCAGTCTTCAAAAATCCTACAAACATGAAAGTGCATGGCTTGGTGACCTCCTTCAATACTGGTCTAATAGGTCATCCAGAAACATTTGGCATGCTGAAGTGTCAATAGCCTCTTTTTTCTCTAGTGAGAAATTATATTACCTCTACAGCTTCCCCCCCACCGCAATATTTCCTTTATATTTTCAGCTGCGTTCCTGTTTGAAAGAGTTCTAGCTAACATGCACCTAAAAACTAGATTACTTTTGTTTCTTGTGCCTAGAAAGTACAGATAGGTTGAGGTTGCGCAAGCACTTCAGATTCAACAGAATTAGATGCATTTTCTGGAATTTACCTGCCAGTGGCTGAGTCAAAATGACTACTGTGGCTGTATCTATAGTATCTTATAGTATGTTATAGAATCTTGTGGTATCTACTGTAATTGTATCTATAATATCTGTCTATGGTATCTTGAGAATTGGTTAAGGGATTTTTTAATCCATATGTTCTTCAACTTTTGAGATTTGTAACAGTTGCCGTGGATATTTCTCTTTAGTGAACATTTTTTTACCCTTGACGAAAGAATTTTCTTACTTCCCCTTCATTACTCAGCCATAGCTCATGGACATGATACAAATTTTTGAAATGAGATGTTAATCCTTTCCATCTTTAAGTGCCCTTTTCTAAACAATGTTTTTTATTAACCACACTAACTTCCAGGTGCTACCACTTGCAGCTGAACACCAGCATTAAATTAAACCCAACAAAACCAACCTCCCTCCTCCCTCCCCACCTCCCCTCTCTCCAAACTAAGGATGCAGTAGACAAGCCTTTTTCACTCAACGGTAATATCTGGATCACAGAGAAGTATTTTAGTTCTTACTTTTAACAGTGAGGTACATGGACTTGCTGACGTCTGCTCCCACATCATTGCTGACCTTGCAGAGGTAGTATCCACTGTCTTCTTCCAGCACATGTTTAATCAGCAAGGAGCCATTTGTGAGAAGCTGGATACGACCGTTCAATGCAATCGGCTGGAACTGAGGAACCCCGGCACCTAAAGCAGGACCCCCATGGAAATAGGTTAGTTAGTTAGGAAGGAAAGCATCTTGTTTTTTTTAAAATAAGGCAGAAACTATAGCTTCCTGTTGTTAGAGCCTCAATGCAATTAAAATATGAATTAATTCTGACATCATCAGAACAAATGGAATGGTTCTTTGCCAAAACTGAATTCATTAAATGGGAAGAAGAAAGACTTTTGGAATGTAATAGCAGCAACAATTTGCCCATGTTAAAGGTAAAGGGGCAAAAGGAGCACGACACAGGAGTGGAAGAACCAGAAAGGGGGAGAGAGAAAATGAAGATTTTCAGACCGCTCATGGGTAAAAAGGCACATTTGTTGTACATTTAGAGGCTGATAAATTATTGACAATTACAGCTGAACAGCCATACAAGTATGCATCCCTCATGCGTACACCAAATGAATTTCTTATGACTAAGAGGGATGTCTGTTGTAGCAAACGTGGCATACTCAAGGGACCTCTAGGTCCTTGTTTACGAAACTCTGGGTAACATGGAAAACCACATCAGTGATTGTGTTGCTTCTCCCCTCCTGCAGCTGACTGACCGATGATACGTAAAATCCCTGTTCTGCCATGTTTGCACCCAGTATTTATTTGGACTGTTAAAAAAAAAAAATAAAAAGAAAGAAAGAAACAAAAAATTCAGACCACTAATCAGGCATGAGGTGCCATGTTCGGCAGTAACGTAAAAATGGAAGGGCCATAAAAAGACAGAAAGCCAAAGATTTCTGTATCATCTTTGGTTTTAAGAAAGAGCCTACTTTTCCTTGGAAATAAGATACTGGGTGATTTAGGGAATAAGGAACAGGATACTCCAGAGGCCCACCACAAGTTCAGGTTCCTCCAGCATTAGGGGCTTTCTAAATGTATAGTAAGATATGGTTCTTGTAACAAAGGGTTTTACAACCTACTTTGGCAGCAGGAGACGGGATTTTTCAGGGAAATCATAAGGTAGTCTTCAACGGAATTCTCTTATACCACTTTCTGTACACGAAGTTAATCTCTGTCAGTATTAATTACTGTATGCAGTTGGCTGAATCAGCCCAGAAGGAAATACGATGAATAAATATTATGGGGAATGATTTAGTATAAAATAGCAAGCTCTAACATCCTATGAATACAACATCTAGAATATTAAAAAAGCCCATGCATACTAAAAATCATTCTAGTCCTAGAAGAATTTGCTTCGGGGACTTTCAGTTACACCGGAGGTCTGGTGGCCGATACTGTGAACCTGGTAATGTTAAAGGGATGATATTTTCACAAAAATCGGTTGCCATCATTGATTTTTCAACTATTTTAGTCACATGCATATCCCACTTCCCCCTTTGTCTATTTTTTTTTCTTTAATAAGGAATTTTTCCTGTCATTTAGTTGGAAGGTGCATTTATGCTTCACTAACTCTACCTGTCTGCAATTGATTGCCCAAGTAGACAGATGCAAGCACTCACTTCTTATATTTCTTTGAAAAATTCTGGGGACAATTTGGTGTTTACAGAAGGGAGAGGGCTGATACTGCCGATGACAGCTACAAGTGGCTAAAATTTTGCGTAACAGTTTGCAAAGGCTTCTTACTCTTCACATGCGATGTTACTGCAGTGACGGCAGCTTATCACACACAACTGCATGAATGAAGCTGCAAGAGGACTACGTGTTCATGAATCACAGAATCACAGACTGGTTGAGGTTGGAAGGGACCTCGGTAGGTCGTGTGGTCCAATCTTTTTGCTCGAGCAAGGCCACCTAAAGCTGGTTGCCCAGGACCATGTTCAGATGGCTTTTGAATATCTCCAAGGATGAGACTTTCTGGACAACCTGTGCCACTGCTCAGTCAACTTCACAGTACAAAAGTGTTTCCTTATACTCAGACAGAACAATCCTGTGTTTCAGTGTGTGCCCATTGCCTCTTTAAGTCTGAAGGACTTAAACCAACAGATTCTTGCTGATCATAGGGTGTCTGTATTGATCACTGTCACTATTCTTTAGAGACAGCAAGTCCATTCCCACTACCTGTCTATTCTGATGTACAAAAAAATGAACCCTCTTTTTCCATTTTACACTGACATGAAAAGCCAGTGACGCTAACTTACCTTCAGGTGTACAGATGCCCTTTCTGCTCGGTTGTGGTGCCTACAGATGAGCTATGATCTGATTGCTTTACTCCTGCTGGCCTCACCTCAGTGATTATTTCAGAATTTGGCACAAACCTCGCTCACAAACCGATTAGATGATGTATCTTTTTAAAGGAAGATGGAGCATATATCTTATAGTCCTGTACAGCACCCTAGTTAGACTACGTATTGAAATTGCAGTCATCCATTAGCAAAATGCAGGCTATTGTAAAACTACTGACCTTGTCACCCAGAGTTATTTTGGCCAAAAAATGAAACTGCAGTTTGATGGCTTTGCCTACATTGCATATATACTAATTCTTTGACTTAAAAACTTCTGAGCTGTTAATGGAAAACCTTTAAAACAGTTACTTGATGGTAGAGTGTCACTAAAATCAAAACACTATCCTTTTCTCCTTTATTAAGACGAGCTGCTTATCTCTTCACAGTTAATTACAACTCAGCTAGCTTGGCTTGACCTCCTCCTTCAGCACGCAAACACAACAAAACAGAATTACTTCTTTGTGACCTACAGTCATAATTAAAAATTCATACACCATAGAGATTAATGGAATTTGGAGCTCTGCACCCTTCTTACCACAAACCAGAATTTATCAATAAAAGCAAAAATAGTCTTTAATATGAACGTTTCTCATCACCCTTTTTCTTTAAATATAATTTAGACCAAGATCGTAAGGAAACCAAAAATGACATGGCGCATTACATAAGGATGTCTTCTCAACAGCACTTAGGTTTACTTTTTGAAGAGTTAACTCCTTTAGATTGGATACAGAGTTTGGAGAGTTTGTTTTCTTGCTAAAACCTACCAGAAGACAACTGGCCAGAAGAGGCAATCTAGCAGGCAGCACATTTTAATTAAAAAGCAGTCAATTTCCTATGGTTACTGAGGGTCAAGTGGGGCCAGTTTTAATGCTCTGTTACATGAGAAGAAAATGTTAAAGCACTATGTAAAGCGCATACTGAATTACTGCTTATGCTAATGCTACCTGACCTTTCTTCTTTGCTGAAAAGATATGATTGGCCATGTTATCACGAATTTTGAAGGAGGGAAAAAAACATCAGCCAAATGCGGCCAGTGAACCTTGTTCTGAGTTGTTTCAATTAAAGCAGTATCTCTTTTCTCTCAGCTGTCCATTTCAACACTCTCCCGCTGAGGCCACAGCTAACGCAGGTGCACATTCACAGCTCCAAGATGTCTCTAAGGCAGACCAAAAGTCCGTTTAGCTCAGCCTTGTGTCTATGACAATGGCCAGCACTACGTGCTGAGGGAAATGATATAAGAACAGTATAAACATGAGGGATTCTTCCTGTATTGCACCCTGCCAGCCTCCCACAATATGAAGATTAAAGCAGTAACTTACAGGTGAGCAAGCTGTTACTAAACCAGAAGTAAACTACCTACCTTTTGAATACTTCCAGACAATGGTAGGAACAGGATAACCCTCGGCAGAGCAGTTAAGAATAACGGCTTTTCCATAGATCCCATCCTGGTCGCTGGGCTGAACCACAAACCTAGGCGGCACTGCAGGAGGAAGCAAAAGGAGCCGTAAGAATTTGTGCAACTTATCCAGTAGCTCAAAATGGCAGAGCAGTCAAATAAGGAGGTGTAACTTTTCATAGTGGAAAGCAAAAATTAAAACCAGCTTTTTGATGAGCCAGTGAAATCGTAAAGTTGGTTTTACAAGATTATTTACTTTCTGTGCACAATCTCAATGTATTTCTTGCCAGGCATCGCAAAAGCACTGGCCTTTATAGGACACAAAACAAGTTAATAAAAACCTCTCTGTAGGAGAGGTTGTAAAATGGAATAACAGATAAATCATACTGCTGTGGTCAGAAAAGGAATGCTTTCTAACAAAGGCAGAGGTTTGACAGATGTCTAAGAAAATGGAAGTTTTCTGTGTTTGTTTTTATAACAGTGAACTAGTAAGCTTTAGAAAAAGAATCAAATTATGTAGCATAAATAATCTTAAAAAATAATGATTTAATAGCAATAGAATCACTTCAGGTGAGAATGAGGGTGTTTGAACCATAACTTCTGATAGGACTTTTCTTTCCAAACAGCCATAGAAAGGTTCAACACAATTTGCTTGCATTAAGTTGAAGAGGAGAAGTCTTACTGGAATAGATGTGTGCAGATCGATGTATATGTATTATTAGACTTATTCTAAGGCAGCATAAAACCACTGCCATGATTCTTCCAGACATAGGCAAGTACATATCTATTTACATATAAATAAAATAAGAGCTGCTTATGTCAAGGAAAAGCTCTACATGTTCCAAATACAGATACACAGTGAAGAAAACAACTTGTGATGATGCTAGACCTACAGTTTACCATGAAGGCCCAATACTAAATGTGAAAATCTCAATAAAACCTGCAGATTTGACAAGAGTTTGAAAGAAAAGCTGAAAACTGTGAAGAATGTTGAGAAACCCACAGAAGTTACTGAATATTAAAAGTGCTTAATGGTTGCATTAAAGTCAGTTAAGGTCACAGATTTTTATTGACCTCCCGTTCTTTGGTTCAGAACATGAAGAAGGAAATACCTGAGAAAAAAAGTAAATTATTTGTGTCCTTTTCCCACACGTTATTCTTTTTGTCATTTCTTACAGTGTTATAGAGAAAATGTAGTAAGGTGACTGAGCCTGTAATCAATTTTTTCCCTCTCAAATCAAGTGCAGCAACACACTCGGATCTAATGCCGTAAAGAAAGAATCCCAATAGTCCCCTGCTTTCCTCGCCACACCGCAACGTATGCGGATGGGGACACACAGCCAACCTCATGGATTCACAGCTCCGCAGGTCCAGCCGGTGCTGACTTTGTCCCAAAGTTGTGGGAGACAGAACAAAGGGCCCAACCATCGCTCCTTGCTTTGACCCAACCCCCCATCAGACCCCACCACCTGCCTCTCCAGAAGTGCCAGAAATTAAGAAAGTAAGTAGGGGAGAAGGCTGTAGCATGAGGAAATGTAAGGCAGCAGAAAAGGGGATCATCAGTGCAGTGACTGTTTGCCCTAGGATCTGAAACAGCTCTTAATGGCCATGAATATAGTACTAATTATACATCAGAAAAACTGTGCGGCACAAGCACAGCAGACGCACCAGTGCTACAATATGTGACTTTAAAGTTTTTTCAGTATAAACATTTCTCATGATTTATGCAAAGAGCTCCTCCCATTACACCAGAGAGTCCCAAGTTTTCCTCAAGCAGAAACCTGAGCTGCCAGTGTTGGCATGGACAGGACTGTGGAAGGTTGGAGGTACCTAGAAGTACTATCTCCAGGTTCAGAGAACCTTCCTCCCAACGGCTCGAGCCTTCCTCCCTGTGCCTCCATAATCCACACTCCCCTCCAACTTTCCGCCTTCATAGATAAATTGGCTTTTAAAAGAGGAGAACAATCTTCTGGAGAGCAAACAATTCCTTTAACTGAATCTTTTGCTCATTGAATCCTATAGCCATAATGCAAAGCTGTTTATTGCCTAACTATGTACAAAGAAGCTCCACTGCTGTTTTGAATATGGCCAAAAGAAATGGAAGGAATTAACGGCAACAGAGGCAAGACACCTTTGTACTAGGAGATATATTTACTGCTGTCAAACATTTCATCTTTCCAAACAGCTGCCACACTGACAAACATATATCATATGTTATGTCAATTCATGATAGGTAAGCATCAAACATGAAATCCCAGCAACAGCAGCTCTGGGCAATCACCTGCCCTGTTCTACTTATCTACTCAGAGAAGACATTTGCTTCAGTAGCTCTCTTCACATTGTTCTGTGTTCATTCTATCACTAACCACAAAAGGAGTCCCAAGTACTTATTTTCCAAAGCAGGTGAAAAGTACAATTAGTTGCACAAATAGATTTGATTTTATACAACTCAGTACCGTGGCATCAGCTTGTTTCACCTTGGTAACCATAAGTAAATTTATATTCACAGCTTCTGAAAAATCAGTTCCAAGTTGCTTATCCATAAAGAGTAGTCAAAAAAAACCAAAAAACAACCAACCAACAAACAAACAAACCAACACAAAACCACCTCAGCTGTAGCAGTCCGGTGAATGATTACAAAGGATGCAATGAAGTGACTGATAATTACTGGCCTCATCTAGCACTGAAAAGTGTGAAGAGTATAATGTCTTTTAAAATCTCTTTTACAATACAAAACTTTTGTAACTTCTTTGTTTATTTCCCTTCTCTTTGAAAAACGTTTTCTTTATAGTCTTCATTTGCTAAACTGGCAAGAAGTGTTAATTTTTCAGGAAATAAGTTTTTGTATTAAATAGGTAGGGATATGCAGAAAGTTTTGGAAAAATTAAGCAAGATTGCCTAGTATGAAGTAAAGGCAATCAGCCTTTAAAATACTCTTTGCATTAAAGTTATCTGTTAAAATAAAAATTTTGTCTAATCCCTTTGGGCATATATAGAAAAAAATGCCAAGTGTAAATGTTCCTTGAGCATTTACATGGAAATGCATCCTTCCACATCTTTAATGAACTCGTGTAGAAATTCTTGATGTGTTGTGCCTTTAATGCTGACAAGCTCTGAACAGGGCTTTTTATCATGTTGATTTCGCTGTATTTTTGGTATATATAAAACATAAGGTTTTGCTCAGATATTCCCGATATTCTCTTTTTTAATCATTACTTTTGATACAGAATGATAATAGGATGGTAACTGTGGAAATTACATTTTGCCATATGAGCTCCAGAACCAGGCGTTCGATTAGCAATCGTACGGCTCCCTTGTACTGCTCCACAAACAAAGCACCTTTCAACCTTACCTGGCAAAAACTCTGCCCACGTCCAGAAATAGAAACAGTTTCTCTATTCAGTAAAGTTTTAGCCTTCCTTTAGGACTGCTTATAAAAATGCCAACTACTGCTCTGATTTTGAAGGCATGAACCCTTCACACTTAGTCTTAAGATTGCCAAAAGAAAAACAGAAAAGATGCTACAGCAAAACAAAATTACTCATTCACTGACCTTTCAATTGTTTCTGTACTGCTGTCTAGGTAAAACCACAGGATTTTTCTTTTTACAGAAATGATTAAAAAGTAAACAGAGGAGATCTTCATATTTTTCTTCCCCATTGATAGTTTGCTTCTCAATTTTATTTCATATGAATAACTTGTTCAGTGCTATGTGGTACCACACTTTGAAAGACAATGCAGCTAACTACTCGATCTAGATTTTCATACTTAGCTTTAGATTATAAGCTACGTTCACTTTTTCATTATCTTTCAGAAATTCATTAGCCCTTAAAGAAAATTTGCTTAGTCAGAATTTAACAAAGTGAATTTATCTGATATGCTTAGAGCTAATGGAGAAAAGAAAACAATTAGTTCTCCTCCCCTCTCTTTAGATGTACAGCTGTGCGCCTCCTCTGCCCCTTTAGAAGTGAAACCCTCTGAAATAGCTCACGAATATGACTGAACAGTTCTACTTGTATTATCACCCTTGTTTCAGCAGCACAGTCCCTTGAGCCCTTAAAGGAGGGCATTTAAAATTGCTTTAACAGTGAGTTTCTGTTAGGCTCTCTCATTTAATGCAGCCCACGGATCTGTGATGAGAAATGAGCTGCTGACTTGTTTAGTGTAAGAGCAGTAAGTTGACAGATGCAACCTATTTAATGGCTGAACTCAAAGGACCTAAAAAAGGTGTTTTCAGTCAATATTATGAGCAGCAGTCTCCGGCTCTCACAAAGGGAAAACAAAGGATGAGAGCAGTCAGAATAGAATGATGACGGTAACATGAATGTCACAGTGCTATTTTAAGGGAAGGAAAATGGTTTTATTATCTCCTTGTGTGAAATAACCCTGATAAGATGACAAAATACGAGTTGGTACCCTAAGAAGATACTGCTTACCAGTGTCATGGCTGCTCTGATGGACTTCACAAGCTACTGACAAAAATCAGTTTATGAGTGCATGCTAACATTCCCTGATTTAATTTTGCTTTACATAAAGCCAAGAATCCTTTCTGACTGTTCTTTACGCCAGGGACCCGACGACAAATTCCCACAATCTTTCCTGGACTTCAGATCTGTGCAAGTGCTTCTGGCTCCCAGGTACAGCGATCGGTACATCGCACTGGGGAGCAATTCTGAAGGCTCCTAACATGAGTTCCTCCGGTGGGCTACTGGAGGGAGTTGAGAAATAATCTATGACATTGGCCTAGAATACAATGTTTCATTTTTACATGGAATATTTGTACTTTACACTGAGATCATACTGTCAAAATGATGGAAGAAATTTAATCAGCCAAAGCGACCATTGATGTATTAATGAATGAGATCATTAAACATTGTACTTCAGCAAAGATGAACAGTTATTAAATTTGGTCATCGGACCTAAGGGGTCGATTTAGCTAGTTTAGTGAAACCATTTGCTATGTGGTTGAAGAAAAAAGATGTACTTTCACAAAATGAGACGGTGTCTAGTGGTTTGTGTTGATCAGGTTTGTCTAATGAGAACCTTAAATAGGAAGTGAATCTTTCAAGAATAATCTTCAAAGCCTCACTGTAAACACCAGCCAAGAAAGTAAATGAATTTTGACACCAGCTGTGACCATAAATCTTCTCCCCCGGTTTTTCTATCAGAAATTGCATTTGTTGCATCACACCAGCACCACCACCAAACACCAGAAAGCAGATGATACTCACTTCCTACCTCGAAGATTCAAGGCTCAAGGACTCCTCATTGGGTGCCTAACTATCTAATGATATTCGACACTCCTGGCAAGTGCAAAATGAAAACACATTTACACTTAATGCACTAAAGGGGGGGTGTTATTAGGTATTTAAAGATCTTATCTCAATTTTAACTTATGATGTGTTCACTAACAGGAATTATAAAATCTTGATTTATGCATCCACTACTGTCTTTGAATTCTCTTTTCTGGCAGTATCTGAAAAATCTTTAACTCATAATACATTTATGAGCTTTTCCTTTTTGGTTACCAATTAAAATCTTTTTCACTGCTTTTTATTTTATAATTATTTCATTCCCATTTAGGGAATCCCTATAGAAATGAGTAACACATTATAAAGTGTATATAGATTTTTAATCACTCTTTAGAAGACAGCCCTAATGAGTAAAGCTCTAATTAATTCTGCATGATGATATAAGTAACTGACAGAGAAGATATTTTTTCTAATTTCTATGGATGATATTCATGACAGGATCCTATTCTTTCCTTTTTCTTAATAGCATGCGTAGCAAACCAAGAGTGCAACAAGAAACAATCAAAATCATAATGATCTATGAGTTTTTGAGAAACCCTTCTAGCTTGCGAATTTTTATGCATTTCCAGAGGAACTCCAGGCCGGGATCTGGCGGAGCACAAGATTTTGAGAAGGAAAGCCCTGTTTTCACTCACCAGGACTGCCTACCTGCAGTCCTAGATGCAGTGAAGATGCTAGGCTTCTCCCAGTGGCTAATTAATGAACTTTTAAAAGATGTTCCATAAACATTAGGACTAATCAAACCAGCTTGTCTATGGATTTGTATCTCATGTTTGAGTACAGACTCCAGTTGGAACACTTCTTGTGTTTGCAGAAGGGCTCACCTGAGTAGATTCTCTGGTGTCTAGTATTACAGTCAGTAGAGGCGTTTCTAATCAATCACTTCTTAGTTTTTTAAGGTTTTAGTTAGCTTAGTTTTTAGGCTTTTAGTTTAGTTTCGTTTTTAGGGTTTTGGCTCCACTGGAGGCATTCTCCCCTCTTCCAATTTGTCTGAAATCGGCCAATAAACTGTGGAGAGGTACTGACAAATCTATGTCCAGAGCGTGTGACACTGTCTCACTTCCAGGTCCTCACCAAGAAATCTGTAGCAGAGAGAACTGAGATTGCCCTCAGATCTTCTTACCCAGGGCTGCATAGCTGCTCAAAAGCTTTCTCCTCACTTTCTTGCTCTCGGCAGGCTCCTTCCATCTCCTATTTGATGCTCTGCAAGGAAGCTCTGTGGAAGCCGGTCATCTTCCTCTGATATTTAAGGCAGGAAAAATCCAGCCTTGCTGGCCAGGTATTTTTAGGGCTCCTTATCATGACTTGATTGCTTTTGTAAAGCACAAAATAACGCGAACAGCAATGAAGATTACCATAAGGTTCTCACAGATTTTAAGAGACTCATGCTTGTTTTTCTTTTGCCAATAGATACTCCTGGCAAAATGACAGTGCAGCTTAGATATGAAAGATATTATTTGTAGGAAGAATATAGGAAATCTATTTAACAGACTGAAAACTTAATAGAAAAATATGGATGCTAAAAAACAGCGGATACATGCAACCTGACATAGAAAATATTGAGAGAAAAAATCTCAAGTTGTAAAGCTGAAGAATTTACATGGCTGTATGCATTCTGCAGAAGTTTGTGTCCTTGCTAGTGGTTCAAATGCAGCAACAAGCACTTGGCCTGTGTTTCTTCATTCACCTTAGGAATAGACTGGATTTAGATTCTGCTTCGAAGTCTACCCGTGTACCGCAAAATGATATGGACTCCCACTTATTTTGGAAATATGATAGCCTTCATCATTTTAAAGTCTACTTTTAAAACAAATACAAGGACAGTATAGACAAGGAGAAAGAAACTTCATGAGGAACAGTCATATTTCCCTTTATTTTCCTCTCCCATTCACTTTCTGCTTTCATATCAAAATGCACAAACTTCACATAAATAAGATATTCCCAGAACACATCTCCTGACATTTAGGAAAGTCAACATTTAGGTTTGAAGCACACTGCTGAGAAACCATCACACAATGTGGATTAGAAACAAGAGGAGTTAAAGCACCATTTCTTCTTTCTTTATTTGGAGAAAAAACAACCTAGTGGATTTAGAAAAACATTATCTATCAGTTATATGGCACCTATGAATAAAAAGATGAGGAGGGATGAGAAAGCTTGGAGAAGAAACAGACAGGAAGAAAGCAAGTCTTTTCTTAAATGTGTATAGGTCAGGTTGGATGCAGACGAGGAGTGACCAACAGTGACGCTCTGAAGGCTGGCTGTCTTCTGACCTGTGTGGGATGAGACAGCTGAAGCAGTTCAATATGAGGGAATGAGGTCAGTCCAGGGTTTTGGCAGAAAATCCAGGTCAGACATCATATTCTATTTTCCCCTTTCCCTCTGGGTGAGAACTATTATCTCAGATGCAGATGCAAAACTGATTAAGACATTACCATTTAAATTGACAGAGAGAGAGAAGAAAGGAGAGGAGGCTCAAAGGAGGCTGCTGCAGAGCACTAGCTGGGCAGAAAGCTAAAAAAGAGGGGGAAAATGAAGTAGCCCTCATAACCTCCTAAAAATTTGCAGGACTAGGGCTCCAGAGGGTTTCTCCAAGCCTCTGGGTAAAACAGAGTGAACAGCCACCCTCTGTCATGCCCGTGGGTGGATAAGGACACCCTTTAGGCACACGCACCCAGTAGTTGTCATCCCAGCCCTGGGGCAGAACCCTCAGCAGGAGATGCAAAGCAGCAGCACAGAAGGGGAAAATGGAGGTGTTGGTGTCGTTTTGATGAAATGCCTACAGGAACCCGTACAGAGTTGCTACAGGGATTCGTTCCCATCACTTCAAGCACTGAGTATAACCGCAAACCAGGTACGATGTCAGCTGTTACGAGATGCAGCATTTCTGCGTAGGGCAGACACAGCCAGCAGACCATCTGTTGTGATGGGAGGTTGTCAACTTTCCCTTCCCCAGCAAAAGAGAAGGTGAGGAAAATATTATTAGAATGATGAATATGGTTAAAAGCTAACAGAACAGCTTAGGAAAAGAATACTTAAATGCATGTAGTTAATTAGACTACTTCATTTACGAATTACTAGATAGATGGGGAAAGTAATAGACATCTGTACTGAGTAATACTTAACGAAGATTAAAAGCCATGAAATTTAAAAAAAAATCATTAAAGAAAAATTTGTATCAAAACTAGTGAAAATGCAATGGACCTATTTGCTGCTGAGTTCTGGGAATACTAGCATACACAAACATAAGCATACACATTCTATAAGTGGAAAACTAGGGAATAATCCACTAAGGATAGTCCTAGGACAGTGAGAAGATTGAACTTAAAAGGAAGAGCTGTTCAGGGGACTTTGCTTCAAAGGAGTTTTTGAGGGGGGAAAAAAAAGCCTGGAAAAGATGGCAAAAGCCCCTGAGTGGTTTTAAGATTTATCTTGGTAACCTTGCAAAAGGGAATATAAAATGTAGTGATCTGCAACAGGCAGAAATAACTAGGGTTACTTCCAGGATTACAGCATGTGTCCTTTTTCTCTGAGGAGTTTAATGGCTTGGTAGAAAGAAGGAGATGCTGGACAGGGAAGAGTATAACACTCTTATTTTTTAAAAATGAAAATTTAAAACACTTTGAAAAACTTCCAGAAAGAAAAGGAAGCAATTTGGTTTTGTTGAAGTTTTGCACGGTAAGTTTGAAAATGTATCACAAGGCATAATCTCTAGGTAACTTGGCTAAGGTGCGACTTGAAAGGCAAAAACTGTTGAAGGCGAGGTATCTCTCTGAAAGGTCTTTTCCACATAAAATATTTCCTTACTGAAACTATATTCACATCTGTTCGAAGGCCAAATGTTGTGAAGTCAGGAGGAGCAAATGAATCGTGCTAATTGCGTAATAAACACAAAAAAAGGAAAAGAACAATGTGGTAACAGGGAAGAGTCTTTTCCCAATGAAGTCAGCATCAACACTTTGCTTTTTTACCGACATAATGTTATATGGGAGAGCGATCTAAACAAAAAATAGGGATAACCAGACTAAAACAATAACAGAGGGGAATTTGATACCATTTCAAAGGTTTGATCCCAATGAGCGGGCCTGCGCCTCACAAAATTTTCCAGGCAGTCAGTCTTGTGGCTCACCCACCCGCCCTGTGCACTCCGGGGTTTTTGATTAGTTGCAAGACTTTTAGATAGAAAAATCGTAACAATTTCTGTGCTTCACTGCTCCGTGTGCTCTCTATTATGAAGAGAAAGATTACCATATTTTCCTTTTTTATTATACTTCCCATCAAACAGATGTCATTACAAAATACTGATGAATTCCGCTTAATTGGTGCCCTTCAAACTAATTACATCTACTTACCTCTCACGATTAATTGGCTTTGGTGCTCCACAGCTGCTGCATCATTTCTAGCTATACAGGTATAATTCCCATTGTGCATCAGCGAAAGATTAGAAATCCTTAAGGAGCTGGTGAAGTCGATGTTATCAATCGTCACCCCGAGGCTGGCCGGGATCGGCCGTCCGTCCTTCTGCCAGGTGATTGTGATGGGCAAATCCCCGGAGACCACCACGCAGGGAATGAAGACCCGCTGCCCGATGGAGAACCGCGGGAACTCAAAAGGCTGAATAAAAGGCGGAACTGAAACAAAAGAGGAAAGAGCAGCTAATGCAGTTACGGTCTTGTTTCTGAAAATAACATAATGAAACAGCTGTGCAGTGCTGACTATGTAAAACCTACACCTTCGACAGCCATAGAGCATTGTTTAGCCAAAACAACCATGTCTTTTGCAAACACCTTTTCTGGCCTGACTGCCCAGTGCATAACCAGAGATCACAAGCAGTGAAATCCCTGGCTTCCAGAGACACCAGACACCATTGGCAGATTCCTGAAAGAATATTAAGCACCTCTTGAAGAAATCACACCGCCGGCTTGCGACTTTCCAGCTCTTTCAGCAGCGACGCTGCCTGGACAGTCCAGGAGGAGCTCAGTCAAGGTCTGATGCGAGGGCCCTGCTTAGGGTCACGGAATAAACCTGGAAGAGGCTCCGGCTTTGCTTCTGGGACGTGATGAAAGAGAATGTAAGCTTCTCTAACTGCTCCTGGCACTTATTTCTTAGTGTTTCAAGTCACAATTTTCAGTAAGATTGGGTAGAGGTATGAAGTGAAAGGCACATACAGTACTTGTAGGACAGCAAATTAAGTTAAAACTGATTTCTAAACAGGGACGGTACAAGGCATAAACACTCATGCTGGAATTTAATTCCTGCTAAGCATATTTTGCTTGGCAGATCTTTTTTACTCTCTTCTTTTTTTTTTTTTATTCTTATTATTCAGTGGCTGAACCAAAAAACTTGAAAGAGATACTCCTTTTTTCTATCATAGGGAAGAATTCCACTTCTTAAAAAACTTTTTTTTTAGGTATTTTTAGTAAAAACAGAGGAAACAGTGGGTTGGATTCAATAAACAAAGCAAGAATTAATGGGGGTGCCTCACTTTCTCTGGATTGTGGTTGCAACATTTATTAATCATTTGGTAAACTGAGACTCAAATACCTACACATAGGAAGGAACAGAAATCTTCTTCCCATCTCTGGGAAGCACTCTAACAGCCAGGGCATTGATCTAAGGCAGATTTCTATCAATCAGTCCTGAAAAGACTATAAAACCAACTTTGCAAGCAGTACTCAAATACTCAATTTATCAAAAGAGAAGTTCCTAGAGGTTATGTACCTTAGATATAGGACTGCGTTTTCCTATTCTTGCCTGAGAGATTACTTATATATACTCTGTAGTATACTGGAACATCTTTAACAGGAAAGATTGAAGGATACCCACAGCAGAACATTTATACTGCTGTATATTAGCTAGCTTCAGAAGAAAATGGAGTTGGTGGCTTTATCTAATTGCATTTCTTTTGTCATTTCTCCCTTTAGCAAATCTAAGGCTACGTTTTCCCCAGAACTAAAGCAGAAAAGAAGCAGAAAAACTCTTCAAAGTGCTTGCGATGTACACTAGCCCATTGACTTCCCCAGCAACATTTTTACTCCTCTGCCAGTGTCCTATCTCTGGGGTGCAGAGAACACGTATTTGTGACCATTACCATGTTACCTCAACGCATTTCTTTTGATCGTTGCATATGTTGGCGGCTCCTCCATCAGGAGTAAGAAAGTTTATCACTAGGGAAGAGATACCAACCCCCCTGAAGGGCTAAGGCGTTGTTCAAAGGCATGTTCAAATGCTTGTGTACATGCACATCATGGCGTAAGAGGTTGACACAAATCAGATATTAACTCCAAAGCCGTGATGCCATTTGATGAGGAGAAGTTCTGACCGTGCACAGCTGCCACAGAGAGGTAACATCAGGCGCAGGGTACCACAGCGCAGCCTTACAGGCTCTCCCTGACTTCTTCTGAGAGCACCTCGCTGCCTGCGGTGGTGGAAAGTGCCGCTGCCATCAATTTTTCTCACACACCGTAATGCCTTTTCCTGATATTTTCCTGACTGCCATCTCTCAAATCACTAAAACCTGTCCTGTTGCATTTTGAAAATCTGGTAGATCAGGCATACAGAAAAAAGAAACTTGGTATAAACTACTGTGTTTATTTGAACTTTCAGCACTGGAAATGAACTGCTTTTTCACTTGGGGATCTAGTGTCACAAAGTGAGGCAAAATGTCTGCCTGCCTCTTCTAATTACCTCCGCGCAGCTAACGCATTCACATGAGGTATTTTAGATTCTTCGTACATCATCAGAAAAAGGCCAAAACTTCTCTTAGCACTTATTGACAAGCAGTTTATAATACAAGTGGGAATGAGCAATTTTTAGAAAAAGACCATCAAAAGTTTTCAACATAACCTTTCCCCTTGATGAGTGCGAATGCCTGCTAAATGCCAAGTGTCCCCCTTACTGTGTTGGCTAGCAGATTTCTGCCCAAATCCTTCTCAGTCTCAGGCATCATAACTGAAAGATGCACTAAAATTCACAACAGGGTGGCAAATTGCTTCTGTATTTTCTGCTGAGTGTGTAACAAATTTGAACCAATCTTTCACGGAAAAAAATGATATCAAAAGTCAGACAACATATTGCTCAAGGGTTGTTATGTGCATCTTCTCTCTCCATCTCCCTGATGAGGAAAACAGGGAGCAAGATCATTAGGTCACATTGAAGTATTTTTCAGAAAATATTGGTTTGTAAGGCCGCATTTACCAACTCTAAAATTTAAGTAGCAGCCTGCAGAGCTTTTCAGAAATTGGCTAAAATATTTATAGGCAGCACATTTTCCCTCTACTCAGGTTTTTAAGATACAGAGGAAACCAACACTTATTTCTGCCACATAAAAATATAACATATATTCAACCTGCAGCAGCTTGCTGTCCTGACAAGGAGCTTATTTTAAAAACCAGTGTGTAATTTAAAATCAGTACTTAAAAAAAGTAAATAGGCTAGCAATAACTTCGAAGTATTGAAGAATGTTTTTCAGCTAGAGTATTTACCAGTTCGGGCTGATAAAGGCAGTTTCCAGTGACCTAACATAGCAGATAAATTTTCTTCCTGCTAGTGTGAAGAAGGAAACAATCACAAAAAATCACTTATTAAAAGCATATAATAAAGCATATCTGAAGTCAGGGAAATAATTTCTGAAATACAAAAATTGCCACATATGTGTCTATATCTATCTATCTATAAATCTAGCTCTACAGTAAAAAGTTGACATATATTCTTGACAGAAGAAAATACCAAGCTTGGTTAACCAGCACGTGGGTCTTTTTTTTTTTTTAAAGTAAAGCTGTATCATTGTCAAACAGCACTAAAAAATAAGAAGGACATATACTACTTTAACTCTGAGAATGAAAAGTTAGAGTAGGACAGATGTATTCAAAATGTGTTTAAAATAGTTTCAGGTGTGTTGAAGTATTTTCCTTCCCTATACATAGCTTTAGTTTGACCATACTTCAAAGTCTGCATTCAATTTTTTTGTTAAATTATACTATTTTATATATAAGATGTAACGTGTTGACTATATAGAGAAAGAGCTGTATATGCACGTGTGCTTGTGTACATGGAAGGGATCTTTCTTCCTCCACCTGCAACAGGCAAAAGAGTGAAAATCTCTGCTTCATGCAATGAAGTGCAATGTCTTGGGAATGCTTTATTGATGCGCGCTTGAATTAAGTGTCTATTTAAGAACAGGAGCATGGGCCAGCCTCATTAGTGCTAATGCAGGAAGATTTAAATTATGTTTTTGTGCCCTAGCAAGGTCTTCTGTACCTCTGGGAGATTACTGTAAAGGAGGGCAAGGAGGGCTTCCACGCTGCTCTCCATTAGCAGAGGAACATCCTTAATTTCTTGCCCTCCGTTCCATGGGAGTTATGTTGGAAGAAACTGCTGGGATGACTCACTAAAACGGAGTATCCTGCAGATAGCCTGTCTCCTGCAGCAGCCTTCTGAACATGGTGTTCCTCTCCTGTGGCTCTGCATAGTAAAATTAAAGTCATCCTCTGCTTTATCATTATAAACAGTTCCCTAATGGATTCTCTTGCAACAACACTGTTGCAGGAGCTGTGCCCACAATATAAAATACCTTTGGCAATGACTACTTACAACACAGGTCCATCGGCTGATGCAAAGCTATAACCACCAAACTACGCGTATGGTAGCCGCATGACCCTGTATTTCATGTGCTGGGAGTGCAAAAGCCAAAACTGTTTCCTAGCCACAGTTCAGTCATTTGTAAGTTTTCTCAGCCATCGATAGCTTCTCCTAAACAATCCCATCCCTTGTGGGTGAAGGTCTGAACAATTGCACACAGTTGCTAAAGCACTGGATTTCTTTGCTTCTTTCTTGTCTGTATTGAGCCTTATCAGTAGGACATGTCATTCATCTCAAACCATCTGTTAATGGCATTGACTGAGCCAAGCCCCATACCCTGCTCCCTTGTTTTATGTTAATGTATCCTACCCTGAAAAGAGCAAATATTGTTATATTCTTCAGGCCTTTCTAAGTGTACACATTGAAAAAAAAAAAAGGACCAAACTAATCCCTGTAATGCCTCTGCTGTTGCACATTTCCCTCTACTTGTAGGTTCATTAATTACTAAAATTAACGCTGTACACAAACATCTTCAAAATCTTACCACAACAAGCTGTGGTATTTTGTCAGGAACTGTCGCCGAGGGCGGCAGAGCGAACGCTGTGGTGGGTATTTCCCCGGGAGCTTACGAGAGAGACTTCACCCTTTGCCATAGTCCTGACTCCCCTTCCCTGCAATGCAACCCCGGTAGCTCACAGCCTCCCTGCTGCTGTTCTGGGAGCTCCTCCAAAATAAGAGAGGATGTAAGATGTTATGTAGAAACCAAGACAGCTTTCATGTCATGTCTCATCCGTCAAGCGAACCACCTCCTTTCAGCCTCCATTGCGAGGGGAAAAGTGGATGCCCTTATCATATGAATCGCCTTGCAAACCTAGGATGGTGGGAAGCTCAGTTCCCTGCCCTAGGGGATGCATTTGCTATTTGTTTTTTAAAAGACCTTCTTGATTTGAAGATAAGAGAGCAGCTGCAAGGGTATATTAACCCAATAAGCAGTTACCTTCATTGTTAAAGCGCTGCCCGATAAAAAGCCTTACTTGTAGGCTATGTATCC